ATTTTATTAATAATTTTATATAATTAATTTTTTTAACCTTTTTGATTTTTTTTAATTTTTTTAATTTATTTAAATTTACTTTTATCTTTCATATTAAAGTCCTGGGAGCTGTCCAACCAAGACAATATATAAAATTATGTTTACATGGTATCCACATGGCAAAGTAATGATATATCAGCATAATTTTTTCAAGTGGCGGATGGAGTGTGACGGACTTTAACGAGTTAACAGGAGATTGGATCCCCGAAAGTTAGTTTTCCGTCCAATTGGAACTTTATTTGAGAATTGAGTGTAGTTTGAGACCTTAATTGAGTGCAATTGAAGTATGGGTCTACAATTACGAATTATGTGTAAGTTTGAGTCCTTATGTCATATTTTTGCCAATTGTAACCGGGGCTGAAAGGAGAAGTCAGGACCAACGTACTGTTATGTACCTTGCGGCAGAATATTACCCCACATGTTGATACTTTTCCTAGGGGCCTGAGCCCAAGCAGCAGCCCACATGTGAATGGTTTGGGGCTTCGTGCTAAATGGGGCCTAACAAAATTTTTTTACCTGGCCGGCCTGATCAGGTGAATTTTTACTCTTGCCCTGGAGTCGATCAGGAAAAAGGCCGAAAAGATAAGAGATTGCATATCTTCTCTTTTTTGCTTTTACAGGGTCAATAATTGTGTGGGCAATGGGGTCTTCAATAATTTTCTTTCTTTTTCCTTGCAGATGGGACCTCCAATTCCAAAGAACGGGTGGATAAATTCTACTTGCTAAGTTGGAATACAAGAAAATGAGAAAGTCTACAATATCCCGGGTATACCACGTGGGACGTATCCCGAACCAATAATATTCTGACACGTTTTAGATTGTGGGGCCATAAAACACCAAAAATTAACGCCGTTTCTTTGCCTTCCTCCATCCTTTCATTGGACCGTTTCTACTTCTTCCTCTCTGTCTTTTATTTTTTTATTTTTTCGCTGCATTTACATGCTACTCTTAAAAGTTGAATAACCATTTCTTTTTCTTCATCTTCATCTTCATCTTCATCAATCAATTCTTCATCAAACAACAAAATCCACAAAAACACATAAATATATATATTTTTTCATCAAACATCACCTTCTCCTTCCTCATCAAACATCAATTCTTCAAAGGAACCCAGGTGCTGGGTTCAATCGAACCCAACAGGCACCCTTTCTCCTTCTTCTTCCTTGCCTTACCTTC